AACATAAACTACAGACTCTGAGTGATCATGATGTGTCAGTGTAGGTCCATCCATTGTAACAAATGTACCACTGGGAAGGGTAAGGATGTGGGTGGCATTGATAACGGTAGGGACTATGCATGTGTTGGGGAGGTAGTATTTAAGAAATACCTTCTACTCAAATTTTCTGAGGACTTCAGTTGCTCTTTAAAAAAAAATAGTCTATTTAAAAAGGGATTTCTGAACTCTTGTCCAAGATTTACTGAATCAGAACTTTTGCCATGGGGTCCTAGTATCTACAATTTTTAAATTATTCTATGACTCTGATGATCACCCTGGTTTTCAAATAGTAGGCCAAATTGCAATTGAAGCTGAAGGTAATCAATTAGAAATTTTGAAACGTTCAAATAAAAATTGTATGAGAACACTAGGACGTTATGAAGGAAAATGACTTAAGGAGAATGGATTCTCCCAAAATCTCATTATGCATTGTTATTCATATCTGAGTCATGTTCAGTGTTTGTATGAAAAGTGATGTCCTTCTCAAAGGACCAAAGTTATTTTAAGAAAGAGAGAGAGAGAAAGATGATGTTTGACACTTGTTACATGGACCATACTTTGAGTAGTAAGGTCATAGACTGTAAGCTCAATGAGGACAGGGCTCTCTTTGTTTCTGTCTATGTACCTGGCATCTCTCATAATTCCTGGCACACAGTAGATCTTCACATTGTGTCTGTTGAATGAATGACTCTCCCCCTCCTCTAAGAATACCTTGGTCTGGTTAAAGCCTTTTTGTTTGCTTTCCATAAAATCTGTGTGCGCGGATATGAAATATCTTTGCCAGCATTTATAATAGTATATTCAAGTAGAGCTTTTGTTTTTTTGTTCCTGCTTTCCTTTCACTAATGATAAATTGCCTGAGGGCAAGGACAATATAATTTTCCACACGTTTCTCAGTACTTAGGACAGTGCTTAGAACACCGGATGCACTTAAGAGATGTTTATTAAATGAATAAATGACTTAGAAAAGCAAAATCTGCCTTTTTGTCTTCCAAAGCTTCCACGGCTATGTACTTTTTATATTCTTAGGAGAGTGGATGAAGGAGTATGTATTGAGGACAAAACAGAAATGGGTGTCTGGGAAAGTACATCCTAGAGCAGAAGTTCACAAGTGACGTCATCATTAGATCAGATGCAGAAGCTCAAAGGGCTCAGCAAATGAGGAAATGTCTCCACAGAAGTAGACTCACTACATCAGCAGTTGTTATTTTCAACTGGTGCCTTCTGTCATGAAGGATAGCTGCTCCGCCAGGTCAGGATTGTTTTGGCCAACTTCAAGGTCATTGTACCTTGCCAGATCTGGCACTGAATCTAGAGGCTGGCAAATCTGTCCTCTTAAAGTGGATTAGGTGGACCCCACAGAGAGCTTTGTGTCCTGGCTGCATTCCCAATTCCTTCAGCCTAAAGCCCTGGCGATATTTCTCTGAGGACAGCCACGTCTTTGGATTTGAGTCTAGCCCCCTAGACCTTAGCCTCGTGCACTACTTCATACACTCTCATTGACTACATCTGCTCTGCTACCAACACAAGTTTTTTGTCATCATCACCTTAAGTGTATTCTGATAGGGAAGACACTAAATTAACCTGTGGCCAAAGTCCAGAATCAGAAATTGACTTATATATAACTGTCAAAAACAAAATCAAGAATGAATGAATGAATGAGTTTCTGTTGAAAAGTACTTGAGTAATGATATGAAATTCCATCTCTGTTTCCTCTGTATCAGTTCCTTAAAATTGCTTAAATGCATTACCCTTCCATGTAAAAATGGGGGTTACATTGAAGGACTTTCAAAACCTTTTCCAGAAAATCAGTGAGCTAATCATTTGAACCAGATGAAAGAATTCTCTGTGCAGGTCCTTCTCCTTTGTCCTAATTTCTGTTTGAATTCCATCAGCCTCTTATCTCAAACAAGGTGATTGGATGCAGTTACTGTTTATATAGAGAACAAAGCAAAGAAGTATTTATAAATTTGAGAGACATAAATTTGAAAGTTCATTTCCAAACCCAGCATAAGAAAATGGGGGATGGGGAATGCCTGGGTGGCTCAGTCGGTTAAGCTGCTGCCTTCCACTCAGGTCACAATCCAGGCATCCTGGGATTGAGTCCCGAATCGGGCTCCTTGCTCAGCAGGGAGCCTGCTTCTCTCTCTGCCTTTGCCTGCCATTCTGCTTGCTTGTGCATTCTCTCTCTCTCTCTCTCTCTCTCTGACAAATAAATAAATAAATAAATAAATCATTAAAAAAAAAAATAAAAAGAAAATGGGAGATGGTCTAAAAATTTCACCTAGAGAGAAGTAACCAGTAATTAAAGAGTACTCTTACTTATTCTATCAGCTACTAGATTTACATATTTCATTGTTCAATAGACTGCCATGGAGGAATATGGAAAAAAGGAAGAAAGTGACCAGAGAGACTTGTGGCTTTGTGATTTGTGACTCTTCTCTCTTTTTCCATACACTCATGGATATATATAAATACACACAAATATCTTTGTCTATCAATCTATCTATATATCTAGATATATAAAGAGAGTTATGGATGTGTAACTATGTTCATGGATATATAAATAATCTAGACATTAAATATAGATTTCTAGGAATAGATATGATAGATGATAGGTCATTTTAAATTTATACAGTAGATTTTTTGTCATGCTTAATTGGATTTTTTGGTAGGTAAGCAAGGCTTGGGTGATAACTTCATTGTTCTTTTGGACAACTCTTAATAGTCTTTCCTTTAAACCCCATTTTTAAGCAGAAGGGACATGAATTTAAAATGACTTTGGAAACCTTCCTGAATTATCTTCAGAGAACCCCTCACCAGGGCAGCCGGAACCAGCCTCCACCTAGGGCGCATGGGAAGCAGTGGGAGAGAGCCCCTCTACTCCGTGAGAGATTTAAGAAACCATTTCGGGCAAAATCTTGAAATACAACTCTCGCCCCTTCCTCTCTGTGGGACTTCCATCTGCTCCTTCTGAAAACCCGATGCTCTCAGACCCTCCCAGCCTCTCTATTCTCGGCTTTCAACTAGAGTCATGGGAAAGCAGAATGGGAAATGACCCTCCTGAACACGCCTTCCTTCCCGGAGGAGGGGAGTGGGAGTGGCGGGGACTCGGCCCGCACCGCCTGGGCGCGGGATACCTCGGCGGGGCTAGCCGGGAGACCAGGCTCTGCCCAGTCCCTCGGCCACCGTCCCTCCGCACCCCCACAGCCACGTAGCGCGCGAGGGCACTCTCCCCCAGCACCCGCCCCAGCACTACTTTGCTCTGACGTCCGCCTTCCCAGCTCTGACGAACGCCCCCGCCGGTCGCCCTTATAAAGGGGACTTTTGCCAATACTGGGATCGATCACCACCTCGCCCGCGTCGAGAGCCCTCCGCTCCAGCTCACACACCTGTCAGCTCTGCGCGCGCCCAGGTTCTGGGAGACCAGAGGCTGGAACCCCGCTGCTTTGCCCTACTCCTCGCCCCTCCGCACCCCTGACCCTCCCCCGCTCTCCACACCCTTGGAGCCCCCAACCCGGCGGTGCCTGGGCGGCGGCCCCGGGACGAGCCACAGACGGCGGAGCGCTTCCCGGCGCGGCAGCCACTCCAGGTAGGAACAGAGCGGGCATCTGGGTGCCTCGGAGTCGGCACCCCGGGAACACCGTGGCCGCCCCGCCGGCGTTTTTAAGTCCCAAGGACGCGGCTTTTTCGCCTCTCGGTGGGAATGTGCGGGCGGGTCCACTCTCTGGCACCCATAACCCTCGAGGCGCCTCGGCGGGCGGGAAAGTCCGGGCGCTGTAGAGGGACCGCGGGGGCGCGGGAGGGATAATGTGGAGCAGGAGATCCCCCGGGCTGGGCGGGGAAACGAAAGAACTTCCCCGTTCCGATGCTCACAAAAGCGGAGCGCATCCAGGCCGCTTCTTTCACTTCCCTGAATCCGAAGGAGGCTAGCTAGTTCTTTCGCCCAAGGGTCATATCACCCACCTGCAGAAACAAATACTTGAATTTCTCCCAGAAACGGGCTTGTGTGAACGCGAGTGCATGAAGTAGCCATTATCGCAAGGGCTGAAAAATAACAGAGAACAAGAATTCCAGAAAGTGCAGGCGTTAGAACTTGACATCTGTCTCTTAAGAGTCTTGTTTTTAATACCTTTGACGTCCTCTTATATTTTTAGGCAATTCTGTATTTTTTATCGTTTTCTTGTATATACCATTAAGAGGGTGGGGGAGAGATGACAGAGCAAAGAACAATGGATGAGGAAGAAAGAGCTGGCCAAGAGGGTGCACTCTTCAAACAATGTAACATCTTTAGTTGGTACAGTAACTTGGACCACAGGCACTTGTTGAAAATCGGAATTGATGTGTTTTTGAAACTGATGTTCCTAAAGCTTCCCCCCCACCCCCCGGTATTTGCACGCCACATTACTTTTGGAACCATTCCCTGAAATTGTTTGAAAGGAGAGGAAGAGGAATGAATGAATGAGTGAATGAATGGATGTAAGATTATGCTAGATTCTCAGAGTAGTTTTACAATACCCTTTACATTACTGAATCATTCTAGATGGAATAGTAAGTTAGTTCCAAAAGCCAAATACATAATCTTTGGAAATGGTTTCTTGACCAAGTTACAAGACAAGGTTAATTTTAAATTGAAAGAATTTATTAAACACAAAAAGTGATGGTGGTTGTATTTGTTCAGCAGCATTTTCTATTTTTTTTTCTTTTTCTTGAAAGCTCAAAACAATATTAAACTGTTAAATAGTAATTATAATAAAATAGTGGGCTGTGTTGGCAACTGCTAGTGTCATATGTAATTTCAGTGTGCTGTTCCTGTAAGTGGTACAGGATCTCTCATGAGCCAGCTGGTTTATTCCCAGCTGCCTATGCATGCTTGGCTGGTTTTTAATGCATTACTGTATTTTCTTCAGAAATCTTAATGAAGTAGCTAGCTGTGGAAGAATCTGGACCCCTAACTAAAAATGACTTTCCATGTGGAAGGACTGATAGCTATCATCGTGTTCTACCTTCTAATATTGCTGGTTGGAATATGGGCAGCCTGGAGAACCAAAAACAGTGGCAGCTCAGAAGAGCGCAGCGAGGCCATCATAGTTGGTGGCCGAGACATTGGTCTGCTGGTGGGTGGATTTACCATGACAGGTAGGTTCTGATGCCTCCGCTCCGTGCTGTCCACCCCTCCTTGGCTTCTCAGAGTGACAAAGCAGATCTTAGCCTTTGTCCTTTGGGGATTCCTTTTGTTCACTGCTTATATATTCTAAAAATAATTTCACATTTATTTAAAACAACGGTAAAATGGTTGCAACTCAGTAGTACTTGAACAAAATGATTTTATAATAAATCGCTGGCCAGAATATCAATGAAAGGAATCTGGGCTATCTGGACAGTTTGGTGGGTGGGAACAGTAAAAACAAAGAGGTGGAGAAAAGTGTCTTGGTCTTACAAGTTATGTGATAAAGTCAGCGTCTCATCACGTTCACTAACACAGGCGCAAAGTTGTGACTTTGGGTTGTCTTAAATGATGGATGTCAGTGAACATTAACTCGTGATGGCTTTCAACTGAATAAATCAGTTAGGGGCAACACAATTCCAAATTGATAGATGCCCTGTTTTGAAATCTAATTCTCCCATTTAGTAAACTAATTCCCTCAGAGAAGACAATCACATATTAGGAATCCACAGCACTGGGAAAAAAAAAAAATTCCAAGAACCTTGATATAAAAGGGGAAAAACTAGGGTGGTCCTAACAGAAATGCCCCAGCCAGCATCTGCAGCCCCACTCCAACCACCTCTGGGTTCTGAGGATCTGATGCCCCAAGGTGGTTCTGTTTAAGAGGTAACTTGCTTCTCTTTTATACTCTCCTTGGTTGTAGAAAATATTTCTGAAAAACAACAATTTAAAATTATATCTTTAACATTATTTGATACATATTCACTAACAACACACATTTCACTTCTGATTCTTATTAGGTTTTTAAACATTAGCAAATTAATCCACACTAACTGGAACTCTGAGGGCTCATTGGAAAATATCCCATCAGAAATTATATCCAAATGTTGCCCAGTTTCAAGCCTGATGTGCTCTTAAGGTGATTCATCTATAAATGGAGTAGTTCACCAAAGCAATCCGTGAAGACTACGTCACTGCTGGCCATCTGAAACTTATCATATTCTAGAGTAGTTTATGGACTATAGGTTTTATTTTTCAGATACAAACATTTTATGTTGTTTAACTCTGTCAACTATATATGGTTTCGTGCGATCTTCATGAAATTCTTTATATTTGAGTACTGTGAAAGGACTCTGGGGTTAAGTAAGGACACAGAGTTACGTGGTTAACAAGGACTAGAATCAGCACCAAACCCAGGTCTTCTGACAGCCACGCCCTGAGTCTCCTGCACAAAGCGCTGCAGGCAGACCTCCAGCTGACTGCATCCCCTTTCTTTATAAAGGCACATTGTATGTAAAGAGGTCCTTTTTAACCCTCTGTTTCTCAGTTTTTCTACATAAACACATACATAGAGCAAATTGTATCATGCAAAATATTTTCTGTGAAATTTAATATGCACATTTAGATAAGTACAAAAACAGAGTGAGAATCATCCATAAGACTACCGCCGGCATATACGTTTCCTGAAATGTTGGTGTACATTTCCAGATGTTGTTTCTTTTATTATCCACCTACTGATGAACACTGGACACAACTTTACATCTTCATTTTCATTGTTTATTATACTGCAAACATTTCTTCATTGCCCTAAAGATCCAGATGTGATACTGGCATTGGAAGGGAATTAAAACATTGTGATTGTACTCCCTTCAGGTTTTTTTCTGTACAAAGAAAATGAGAAGAAAAACAAAATAAAACAAAGAAAGTTGATCTCCCTCAAAAAACTGTTGAAAAGAATAAATGAGCTGTTCTATATCAAAGTATTTGATGACTAATTTTTTTCATTCTTATAATGTTCTATTACTCTGATTTAATGCTGTATCTACTGTGTTCATAAAGATAATATTTCAGAATTTGTTCTCTTGTCATCTAGAATGATGTAACAGTCTATTAAGGTATATAGAAAAATTTGAATCATGATGTTTCATAAGATGGGTCATGGTCTAGCTCATTTTTTAACCCACTGAGCCACCCAGGCGCCCCATGGTCTAGCTCATTTTTTAAAGATTTTTTTCAGTCTTTCAGGTCTGAAAAGAATCGTGGTCAGTCTCATAATTCATTTAAAATACAAACTGTATTACCTAAACCTTGTCAGATTCATTGATTGTATATATTTGATAAAGAATAAAGTTTAAAAAATAAAAAATGCATATAGGTTGAAAGAATTCTTGTTCTCACTGGTGAATCTGACATGAAATATACAGACATGCAGAGCAAATTCTGGTATAGAAGGGACGAGGCTGGTAAAAATATGAGGACTTTAACATGATAAGTAACCAAGTTGATAATCATTCAGTCGCCAAGTTTGTTCTGGACAAGGGAGAGGAGACCTACAAAATGAAAAGTGATCACTGATAAGCTTTGTGCTCATAAGACCATTTACTTTATGCAATGAAACATTGTTGGCATGTTGTTAGTAGTTCCAGTTGCCTGGCAGGAGAATCAGGTCTGATTCTGCACCTGTGAGAATCATTTATTCAAGTCCCAGTTAGACACCCAGTGGAGGGGGCATCCCTATTTATTTTTATTTTTTTGTATTTTTTAATAATTTAAATTATTTAATTAATTTTTAATAGCTTTTTTTTATTTGTTAACTCCCATGTAAAAGCTCCCAAGCAGATGAGAGTGGCTGCTAAGTGCATACTTGTCCACTTTAGGATTTTGATTGTAAACTTTCCACTTAAATGCGCTTCAAATTCCTTTGTAGAGAGCTCTTCTCATGTTAACTTTTAAACAATAGTACTAACCCTACAACATTTTCTTTTTTGCTTTGTATTTGGATCAAAAGTCAGATAAATTTTGGCATGAACACAATAGAGACACCTGTGTTTGACAAATTATTTATTCTACTTACATTCTATGAGATTTCAGATAACTTTTCAGAGTCAAGTTTTAGTCCCAATTAGATGATACAGCCTAGAATTAAGACTCATATACGGTAAGCCAGCCTATGTTCCTTATAATCTTACACAAATTCTACAATGGATTCTTTAAAATATTTTGGCGATATTCTTCAAAGGTATGAACACATAAAGATTTAAGTGTTCCATTAACTTTAGCTTTATCACAATCAAATTCAAATAGAATAATCAGATGTGGTATTGCTTTCTCACTGAAAATGGTAGAGTTTATAGATCCTTCTTGGTCCAACCTTGTTTAACCAACATGTGTTTTCTTTGATTCCTTGACTTCCTCCTTCAACTATTATGCTACAGATATTCTATTAAATAATACCTGAAGAAGATAGTATTTCTTATTATGCTTCATGAAATATCAAATATCTTTCTAAAAGACCCAGATTAAAACAAAGAATGCAAGTAGGTATGCAGTCTACATCAAATACTAAATGCTATTTCTTATGCCTAAGTGTATGTTGGACACTTGGGAAGGGGGAGGGGGAAAACTCATTTTAGGACACCTTGGAGTAGAAGTGTCCTCTCTCCTTTAACAATTTAAGAAAGTAAGTAGTATGCTGTGATGGAGAACAGATCTGCCAAAATCCTATGTACTCAGAGTGTTTAAGAAGTGGTCTTATCAATAAAAATAAAATAAAAAAAAACAAGCACATACATCTGTAACCGCACACACATCCCCTCCCCCATTCCCACCCTGCTCCACCCTGCCCTACCCCCCTCTCCTCTTCCTGCTCAGGAAGGTAATTGTGATCAATGTGAGAAGATGAATACGATTAAAACAGAAGGATCTTAAAATAAAGAAACTTGACCTCATGTTATGGAAGCTGGTGAAAAAGTTGTACTACTATTGAGAATAGAAATTGTCATATATTTTGAATATAATGTCAGACTTTGGGATATAACAATATTGTTTGAAAGTATTGATGACTAAATGGACTCAGAAAACACCCAGGGCAACACTATCCAAGAGAAATACGATGTGAACCATAAAAAGAATGTTACATTTTCTGCAAACCACTTTAAAGAACATGAAAAAAATAGGGGAATAAATGTAAATAATAGAATGTATTTAACTCAATACATTGAAAATATTTTCATTTCACCAGGTAATTAACACAAAAAAATTATTGAGACAGCTTACATTTACTTTTGCATAGTCAGTCTTTGAAATCCAATGTGTATTTTACACTCATAACATTTCAAACCAGACTAACTATATTTCAGGAGCTCAATAGTCACAGGAGGCTAATGGGGACTGTGTTAAACTGAGCAGGTCTAGGGTATGATAGGTATGGTGGCATCTTTCCCTCACTGTTCATTCTATTTCAGCCACCTGGGTTGGAGGAGGTTACATCAACGGGACAGCTGAAGCAGTGTATGTACCAGATTATGGTCTAGCTTGGGCTCAGGCACCAATTGGATATTCTCTTAGTCTGATTTTAGGTAAGTGAAAGTTAAACCTTAGTGACCCACCAGTAAAGCATAAAGAATAGGAGTACAAATAACAAATGAAATAACAAGTCAAACTGTGAATAACTATTGTGAAAAAGAAAATGTTACCAGAGATCTCTCAAGTAAATGTTACCAGAAATCAGTAACACTATGCTTAAGATTATTTGATCCCTTGATTGTGGAATATGTTTTTTTTTAAATCCTTTGATCTATGGCAAGAGTGAATTTCTTAGCATATGATTTTTTTCCTTTCAAAAATAGTACAGAGGTATCATTAACAATGAATCAACTTGAATTATATCTGAATTTCTTTTTGTAGCTACTCTAAGGAAAGGTCAAAAATATTATATAACAGAGTTCCTTTTTTTTTTTTTTTTTTTTTTTCACTTAAAATACATTCATTGGATCATGTGCTTAATCAGTGTCTGAATGCTATGCTTGGTGATACAAAGACATTTTAGTGAGTGCCACACCGGTCCATGTTTTTCAACCCACATGCTTTGGATACCATTCAGTGGTCCTTTGGATGCATATAATGACAAATGTATTAAGAAATACATGTTTGGTTGCTAAATATGTCTTGGTTCTGTACTCACAGTATATTTCAGACCGGTTCTTCCACACATATCAGTGTTCTAAAAAAATTATTTCCCTTGAGAAATTATAGCATAGTAAAAGTTGGCAAAGACTATTATATTATAAATTTTTTATTTGCTCATAAACACTTGTTTAATTTATTTTAGGTGGTTTGTTCTTTGCAAAGCCTATGCGTTCCAAGGGATATGTGACCATGTTAGACCCGTTTCAGCAGATCTATGGAAAACGCATGGGTGGGCTCCTATTTATTCCTGCGCTAATGGGAGAAATGTTTTGGGCTGCTGCCATTTTCTCTGCCTTAGGTAAGGACCTCTGCCTTGCTCTGGTTAACGGAACATCACATACCCAACTTTACTCGCTTAAGCCACAGGCCAGGCCACCTGCAGCCTCCGTCATCTTGATGAATGCAACCATCTCCGTGCTTATTGTGCAGGGCTCCTCCTCTAGTCTACACATAGTACAGACTCATCCTTCTAAAATGCAAATCTGCTCATGTCTCTTAACTGCTCCTTTCCAAACTTTTAAGTGAGTGCATAAAGCTTTTTATGACTTAGGCTCTGATTCCTCTCATTATCCCTCCCTTCCTTCTTCTATAACTCTAGACTTCACCTCCTCTCTTGCCTCTAACACTGTGAAAGTGCAGGTGCCCTCTACTTTGGCCTTGTTCCCCCTCTGCCTTTTTGATTTCCGCCCACCTAACCAGAAAATGTCCTTCAGTCTTCTCTTAGACCTCATTTACTTGAATCATAATCCTGACCTTGCTGGATGACTTTCCTGTGGGCTTCCCTAAGCACGTGGAATTCTCTTTTCACTGGACTTGTCACTTTGTGTGATTATGTGCCTGTTTATCTGTATCACACCCAAAACCAACCTCACAAAAGGGATTATAAATTTCTTGAAGGCAGGATTTGTGTCTTGTTAATGGTTGTAATTTTATCACAAATAAATGAATGAGTGAGCAAATTATCTCTTTCTTCAAAAGAGAAGAAAAACAACGGTACTTCTTTTCTCAATGTAATCCTAAAGTACTGAGTTGTAAACACGTTTAGGGATCTAGAAAATGAACTTAGACTCCAATTAATGCTAAGGGACAGCCCATCCTGGGCTCACTGATTCTCAGCCCACGTGTAAGGTTTAGAAAATGAGAGATTTCAGTGGGATGTTGGGAGATCTTCAGTCAGGCTTAATAACCTGCCTTTTGATCAAGGTGAAATATAAACCACTTCACTGAGCATTGATTTCCTTCTTGAAGATCAACAGGGTTGGAAGTTCCAACACCTTCCTCGGTGAACTATGTGCATGTTTGACATCCAAGCATCTGTGTGTGTTTCTCTCCATCATTTCTTCCAAAGGAAGATAAAGGGCTTCAGTCTACAGTTAGACCCCACGTGGTCAAACCAAAAGTAAGATAAGATGAATGTCCTTCTACAGTATATATTCCAGACCACAAACTTGTCTTCTGGCTTCAGTATTATCATCAGATCTGACCTCTGTAATATCAGATATTTGTTTATGTTACCTTTCACTCCTTTCTTTTTCAGATTCCCATATAATCTTACCTTCTTGGTCTTCAACTGTAAAATGAAGGGAAGATTTGATGTAGAAAAGAAGAGAACTCAATAACTATAAAATACTGTATAACTCAGTGGAAAATGTTGCACATTCTTGGTGCAATATAATAATACTCCACAGTTACCACTGCACTTATATCCTAATGAAATTATGTGTAAAAATATACCTCCCTTCCCACCTTGCTCTCATTAGCCAAGAAGCAATGGGTAGTTTATTTGTCATTAGTTTCAACACTAAAAAATGCTGATTTTAAGACAAGCTGCCCACTGAGGTATTTTTTTCTTTAAGATTTTACTTATTTATTTGACAGACAGAGATCACAAGTAGGCAGAGAGGCAGGCAGAGAGAGAGAGAGAGGAGGAAGCAGGCTCCCCACGGAGCAGAGAGCCCGATGTGGGGCTCGATCCCAGGACCCTGGGATCATGACCTGAGCCGAAGGCAGAGGCTTTAACCCACTGAGCCACCCAGGCGCCCCAGCTGAGGTATTTTAAAAGGAGTGGGCTGAATTGCTAACAGAATACAAAATGTTCACTCTCATGGAATAAAGACCAATTTATATAATAGAGCCCTAAGGGGAGAATTGAATTAATATACTAATATTTCTCTTTTTTAAAAAGGTTTTTTTTTTTTTTAAGAGAAAGAGAGCATGAGCAGGGGGAGGGGCAGAGGGTGAGAGAGAGAGAAGCAGACTCCCTGCTGAGCATGGAGTCTGCCATAAGTCTCAATCTCACAACCCTAAGATCATGATCTGAGTCTACATCAAGAGTCACTCAACTGACTGAGCCACACAGGTGCCCCAACTAATATTTCTAAAGTATTTTATTTTGGAAATATAAACTTGACCTAAACTCTAAACTTTGCTGCAATTAGTTATTTTTGTATATGTGTGTGTGTCTATGTCTGTGTGTGTGACAATATATATGTAAATATATATTTTTTTATATATATATATGTTGATATATATATCCCTCTCTACATAGATGCATACACATCTCAAACAACATGTATAAAAACACTGCTGCTATTTCTTGAAATATATGCTCTGGTAAAGAGAATGTGCCTTTTTAGATTAAATTTTCTTCAAAAATGATAGTTGGACATAACACAAAATTAGCGTTTATTAGAAATAACTTGGAATGCTTAAGAATAGACAAATATAAGATCTATTACCACCTTCTTGTGACCGTGCTTAGTTCACCACTGAAACTTAGGAGAATTTTAAACTGTCTTTTTGGCGTAAATGCACATCCTTTATATGCAATTTTTTAAAGATTTTATTTATTTATTTGACAGAGAGAGAGATCACAGGCAGGGGAATGGGGAAGCAGGCTCCCCACTGAGCAGAGAGCCTGATGCAGGGCTCGATCCGAGGACACTGAGATCACGACCTGAGCCGAAGGCAGAGGCTTTAACCCACTGAGCCACCCAGGTGGCCCTATATGCATTTTTTTTTTTAAGAAATACATATTTAGGTGTGCCTGGATGGCTCAGTCAGTTAAGCATCGACGCTTGATTTCAGTCCAGGTCATGATCTCGGGGACATGGGATTGAGCCCTGCATCATGCTGCACACTCAGGACAGGGTCTGCTTAGGATTTCTCTTTCCCTCTCCTTCCACCCTTCTCTCAACTCATGCACTCTAAGTAAATAAATAAATAAAACCTTAAAAAAATGTATGTTTATACTTCTCACAACTCAAATTCAGTGAATGTTTATAACTTTATTTATAGTATGTTTATTTTTGTGGTTGCATGAATAAAGTAATATTTCATAACAGATCTGGAAGTATAAACTTATTTTATTCACTACAAATGATGGAATCTTTAGAAAATATTTTTGAGAAAAAAATTTATCCCAGTCTTTATAGTGATAGGAAGGCTGGTGACTTCTTTTTAAAACCACTGAGTTGCAACCAAATGGTAGTATTTACCAATATCCAAATCTTTAGGATCCTAGTCTAGTGCTCTTTCTTCTATAGCATGTAGCCTCCCACCCCACCTTTTGGAGGTGTAGCATTAGTAAAAGTAAGACTTACTAATGGGTAGAAAATTAAACAGCAGCCCAAAGAGGCAGGGTAATAATTGTTCTTTTCAAAATTCATGAGATATGGCTTAGAAATGTTGTTATTAAAGGAGGAAACCAGACCAAAAGAATGGCAAAGAATTGCAACTAAAGTTTCAACATGAAGTAAATAATTGCAAGGGGAAAAAAAGCTTGTTATGTTTCTATACAAAAATAACTCAATTATCCAAAGTCACTTATAAATAATTGAAATAATTGACTGCATTCCCTTTTCTTCATCCTCCAATTCCTTACCAGGCTTTTCCTTTTATTAATTATCTTTACTTAAGAAAATAATTTTGTTAACCAAACCCAAAGTACTAAGAAAAAAATCTTGAAAAATACTTATATTGTTATCTTTGATATTATATATATTATTTGCTCCTTCATAAAATGGATTTTCATCTCTGGTAGGTTGCATACACTGTTAGCATGCAATTGAGGGATGGTAGCAGTAGCAGAACATAAGATTGCAATTAATGATACCCAAAAAAATCACATATTTGTTCTGTGTATGTTAACATTCCTATAATTGCTGTGTTAGTAATATAACATATAAACTATATAACTTAGAGAACAATGGGAAAGGGTTTGTAAACCAGCAAGTGAATTCCAAACTGGAAGTCCAGGAACCATAGTGATCCAATTGTGCATTCCCTAATATTCTCACTGGAAATATAGACACTAACAAACACAATAAACAAAGTCACAACTTAGGGAAAACATAAATTTTATTTCTAAGGCAGATTTAAAACTCTGCTAATAAAAAAAAGCTCTGCTAATGAAAATTACTTAGAAAGAGGATGTTAAAATCTAGCAGTGGGACTGGAATAAAATTTAACAATTTTATGATTTTCTTTTACAAAATTGTCTTAAGCCTTGGTACTTTTTACCATCTGTTATCTAAAAAAAGCTAACAAGGAGGCACCTGGGTGGATCAGTTGGTTAAGTGTCTGAATCTTGGTGTCACCTCAGGTCCTGATCTCATGGGTCATGAGATCAAGCCTCAAGTTGGGCTTTGCGCTCGGTGGGAGCCTGCTTGGATATTCTTTCCTTCTGCCCCTTCCCCTGTTTGCTCTCTCTCTACTTCTCTCTCAAAAATAAATAAATACATCTTTAAAAAAATAAAAATAAATAAAAATAAATTTTAAAAGCTAGTGGGGTCAGAGTTAATGCAAAATAGAAAATGGGTGATTGTGCTTATTTCAAGGATATGAATAAATATATTGCATATAGCTAATATATATCATGGAATTCTAAAGTCATGTCATGGATTTTGGGTGTCCCACATGAACAAGTTACCAAATCATCAATTTCAGAAAGAAAGAATATTTTTAAATATATATGTATTATATACATAAGTATATATATACATACACATATGCAAGTTATAGAGATTTTAAGATTTTTATATGAAAACTTACATTAACTGTTATCATCCAATACATTTCACATGACATGGGGAAGTACCTGCTGTCACTGAACATTCAGTATATCCTTGAACAGAAAGTGGAATCCACTTGAGTGCCTTGACCACAGAATTCTCTTGTCTGCTTCAGGAGCCACCATCAGCGTGATCATTAACGTCAACGTGCAAGCTTCTGTCATTGTCTCTGCACTGATCGCCACTCTGTACACGCTGGTGGGTGGTCTCTACTCCGTGGCCTACACCGATGTTGTTCAGCTTTTCTGCATCTTCATAGGCCTGGTAAGTGGAGCCAGTTACAGACTTTCTTCTTTTACTTTATTCTCCTTCTTCTTTCTAAATGGTAATGTGGCATTTTATATGAACTCAGCAAAAATTAATAGAAATGTTATTTTCCATCATGAGTAATACATAGTAAGTCATGTACCATTTGAAATTTCAAATTTCTCAGCGAATTAATTGGACAAAAAACTGTAGTCATTTTCTTGTTTTTTGACAGAAAATATGCTCTCAGTTTAATTCTTAGAAAGTTCTAAAGCTTCCTTTCCTTCATGCCTACATTTGAGGGGAAACCTACGTGTGCCCTTCCTTGAGTTTGAAGGCAACACATTTTACTCAGAGTTAAGATGTCACTGAGTGGGGAACCCAGTGTGAGGCTCAATCCAAGGACCCAAGGATCATGACCTGAGCTGAAGGCAGATGCTTAACTGACTGAGCCACCCAGGTACCCCCTACATTGGTCTCTTAACGTTTCCCTGTAATCATTTTAATTGATCCATAAGACTGCTCATAAGACAGAAATTATCCCATTCAAAAAACTGTGGGTTTCAATATTAATCTTTACTATTTGGGGGGTCTAAAAACAAAGAAAATGTTTAATTATATAAGGCACTAACAAGATTTATCATGTATTGCTTTTAAGTCCTAAAGTAGATTATGTAATCTATGTGTGTTTTATTCAGTAAAAAGTATTGTATAATTATGAGACATATTATTGATACTATTGATAAAAGTGCTTTTGTATATTATGAACACATTTTAGTCAATGATGAGACTTTGCAACTTCAATATCTTAAATGTGAAGACTGTATTATTACACATATAATAATATCCAACATCTAGGACATATCCAAGAAAATGGCATGAGCACTCCATGCTGGGCACTGTAGTGAGTTCATACACATGATTGTTACCCCGGCTGTGTAGCCTATAGGGCCAGTGCCCTTGGAGAAAGGCCACAGAGAGAAGAAGCTGAGACTGCACATCATGACTCCCTTCTCATGGATGATTAAAGTACCCTTTGAGGCTTCTCTTTTTTCCTTCTTTTTCTCAGAAAGAAAAGCTCTTTATTTTCGTGTTTGCACTAGACAGAAATGAAAAATGAAGTCAAATCTCATATTCATTTTTTTTTAATTTTCTAGCATCTTCAATAATGGGAAGAAATTTTTAAACAACTGGACTACAACTAAAATTACAGCTTAGCCATAAACTGACATATGCTAGCAATGATCACAACATTTCCTCTTTTTCCCTTAGCATCTGTGTGCATGTCATGGAATCTTTCACTAGTAGCTTTATTGAACTCAAGTCAATTTAATTTGCTCAATGACTCCTATTTTCTTATTTTTAAATTGTCAGAAGCAAGTGGACAGTGCTGAAATTCAGAATTCTCCTTAGCATCATCATAAACTTCCAGAAATAGATCTCTGTTCGGAACATTGGAAGCAAGTTTGGTTTGGCAATGACAGATCTCTAAGCAGATGCACTTGGTATTTTAAGAAAGGCAATGCTGTGGTACCTGGGTGGCTCAGTCAGTTAAGAGTCTGCCTTCAGCTCAGGTCATGATCTCAGGGTCGTGGGATTGAGCCCCGCATTGGGCACTCTGCTCAGCAGGGAGCCTGCTTCCCCCTCTCTCTCTGCCTGCCTCTCTGCCTACTTGTGATCTCTCTGTCAAATAAATAAATAAATAAAATCTTTTTTTTTAGAAGAGAAAGAAAGTAGCTGGGGCACCTGGGTGGCTCAGTGGGTTAAGCCTCTGCCTTAGGCTCAGGTCATGATCTCAGGGTCCTGGGATCAGGCCCCGCATTGCATTGCATGGGGCTCTCTGCTCAGCGGGGAGCCTGCTTTCCCCTCTCTCTCTGCCTGCTGCTCTGCCTGCTTGTGATCTCTCTGTCAAATAAATAAATTTTAGAAAGAAAGAAAGACAATGCCAGGGGGTGAAGCTATTTATTGATGATATATGTCATTTCTCATTGCCTTTCATGAGACCAGAACTTAAAATACACAGGGATATAAATCAGGCATGCCAACATAACGGCGATGGGACAAATATCTGTGGGGACAGATGTTAGAGTGGTTTTCTTCTACAAAATGTGACTAAACTGATGAGGAATCTAGTTGTCTTGGTTACTAGTTAAGAGACTATTGACTTGACTGAGTAAAAGGCCAAGCTTGGTTTGTTTTCCAAGCTGCAAATGGTTATACATGCATACATAATTAATGAATCAATTCACACCTTAAACTATCTCTTTTTCTCAAATTCTCCAATTCTGTTGATTTTATCACCATCCTTGGAGCTCCACCGCTATAAACTTGGAGTTCATCTGTTCATTTTCTCTCTCTGATCTCTTCCTGCTGTAATCTAAGGGTTCCTCAATCTCCCTTCAGAACCCTTTCCTGTACCAGTGTCTTTCCATTTCCAATATGATGGCTCTATTTAAGGCTTTCATCTGGGTCATATCAGTGCACCTACTATTTCTCCTGACTCCTCCTTCTCCTAAGCTCACTGTTCACATCTACGATATCAAAATGCAGATGAAATCTACTAAAAACTTTTTACAACTCGGGAGAAATGCCTCTAGCTTCCAGTTGCTACAGAACAAAATATAGATCCCTTTGCTTTCAATTCAGATTTCTTGCCATGTGTTTATGTTTATCTATCCCATTTCCCTAAGCCACTCCCATGCCAGCACACCTTGTCACACAAAAGATCTGAGGACTCACCCCATATGTTCTCCTTTTTACCTTGCTCCCCATGGAAGGCCTCCCCATTAAGATATACTTAATGTTCTTAAATTTAATGTTTTCTTCCCAAATGTTGGCTGACTACTTCTATAACTGATAGGACATGGTGTAAATAAATGCAGGTATAGATAATATGTTACTCTAACTTTTTAAATCAGAATTTCATGGCGTCCCACAAAGAAGGTGATTCCAGGTTCTTCTCTGTCTGAACAGAAGGAAAAACTGAGCTGTGTGGTCTATGAAAAAATAAAACGTGTGGCAAAAGTCGTAGCTTAACTCTGTCACGCCCCTCTTTGGTTGCAGTGGATCAGCGTCCCTTTTGCCCTGTCACATTCTGCAGTTACTGACATTGGGTATACTGCTCTGCATACCAAGTATCAAAAGCCTTGGCTGGGGACCATTGAATCATTTGAAGTCTACACTTGGCTTGATAGTTTTCTGCTGTTGGTAAGTAATGCCCTTACCTGAGGACTGCAATCTCATTTTTTCCTAAAATCAAATGCATTTTTAAGATTTAAGGCTTGTATGTAAATTTCACCTACTGGCTCACATCTCTTTCTGCATTGACTGCTTCTTGTTGGAAGATGGGGCCACTTACTGGCAGCTGACTAGTGTCAATGTGGAGAGAAAGTGAAGTCTTAAAGGGAGAATGTCTATGGTGTGATGTATGGTGTATCCATATTTCTGTTGTGCTGTAAGTCAGGAACAGCATGCCCTACCCCCAGGGACTTCCCCAACCTGGGGCCACGCCATCTGAAAGTTTTAATTTGTATTTCGGAGTAAGTAGCCCGTTTAGTCCCTAATTACTGATAAGCAAATTATTGTCAAAAGGGCTTTAGTGCACATAGAAGTTGGGAAAAGAGGTGTCATTCAAGAAAGATGCCAAGAAAGAAGCGCTGGGAAGTCAGAGACAGCTTAGGAACATGCAGAACTTTAGGGTGAAGGTGTTGGTAGTGAGACGTGGGGCACAGAAACAATAAAGGCAGATCACAGATTGACAGAAGAGGGGAAAGCCAAAAGAACCTGCCAGATTTTGTGATTTTGCTAACTGGAGGGGTTACTTACAAAAATAAAACATTGTATTTAATTTCAAAATAAATAGATTAATGTTTATATCAAAGTGAAGGGGAAATTATTTTTGTTTCCTTTTTAAAGGGCTCATAATATTTTGTGATTTCACTTTGTATTTGTTGCACTTTGCTAAATTTCAGCACTTAAAGTTGATGTGTCTGTCCCAATAGAAGAATTCCTGGTAAAGGGCACCTGGGTGGCTCAGTGGGTTAAGCCTCTGCCTTCGGCTCAGGTCATGATCCCAGAGTCCTGGGATCGAGCACCACATCAGGCTCTCTGCTCAGCAGGGAGCCTGCTTCCCCCCCCTCCCTTTCTGCCTGCCTCTCTGCCTACTTGCAATCTCCATCTGTTAAATAAATAAATAAAATCTTTAAAAAAACAAAAAAAAGAAAGAAAGAAAAAGAAAAATTCCTGGTAAGAAGACAGGAAAACATGTAAACAGTTTGTTTCCAGTGGTGGGGTGAGGGCACAGCTTCTTTCCCAAGGATTGTTAAGAAATGTATTGGCTGACACTTTTCTAGAATGGCTTATAATTATGAATTGAATGGAGAAAGGAGTTAAATATAACACATATGTGAAATTATATCTGCATGGCAGTGTATATTTATGATGATATGGAGGAGATTATGGCACTCAGAGAAGATAGGTAGTCTGTTGATAATCACACTCTTGTCTGAGAGATGGATTGAAATAAAGCATCAAGACCCTGAAGTCATTTCTCCTACACTATACTTCAGTCCTCAGATTTATTAATCTTCAAAATAATGCATTATATCCAATGACTGCTAAAGTTTCTTCCATCCCCCCAAATTACATGGCCAAGTCCCGTTCATTCTTCAAAATGTAGCGTAAGTGGTAGTGAAACAGTAGATGTTGAATGAATGAGTGAGTGAACTGTAGAAGTATGCCAAGAAATGTTTCACCAAGGGTCTCTGATCTTCCAACTGTCTCTCTGAACTTCCACTTGTCATAAGTGACTTGTGGAGTCCTGCTCTGGATACCTCTGAGGGATCTCCCAGCCCCACCTTGAACCTGCTTGCTGATAGCAATCCTCCCCTGGCCTGTTGTGGTGGCCCTTCACAGTCTCCATGCAGCAGCCCACCTGCATCTCACTTGTCCTAATCCATCTTCCACCTTTGATGTCAGGGCTTCTGTTTGTCTGTGGAGGTCAGGTTTTACCTTACTTACAAAGGTCTGATGACTTAAATGTCCAGAGAGATTGGCATGTAAAATTAGAGTGTATCAATTCATACAGGCATTGAAATTATTGGTGAATATTCATTAGGATAGAAAATGTTAGTGATATTCATATAGTCCTGACTTGTAATGGTTTGACTTAACAGGTTTTCAACTTTGCAGTGGTGAGAAAGCGATAGCATTCAGTAGAAAGCATACTTTGAATTTTGGTCTTTTCCTAGGCTAGCAGTATGTGGTATGATCCTCTCTCATTGTGCTGGGCACCTGCAGCCAGCCACAGCTCCCAGTCAGCCATGAGGGTGAACAACAGATACACTCACAAACATTCTGAACCCATACACCAAGATGCTATTAACTTTAGGTATAGTACTCAACGAATTATATAAAATAATCAAGACTTCATTATAAAGTATCTAACATTTATGTTAAATGACTTGCCAAACTAGGCTAATGTCCGTGTTCTAAGCACGTTAAGGTAGGCTAGGTTGAGCTATGATGTTCAATAGTTTAGGTGTATTAAATGCATTTTGGATTTTGACTTCAGATTTTTTCAGTTTACGATGGGTTTATTGAGATGTAACACCAACATAAGTCAAGGAAGATCTATATTGATTAACAAGTTACAAACCAAAGGAAAAGTTTTGGAAGAATATAGACTTGAGGCATGGATTATGAATTTTAGAATTTCTTCTTTTACTTTTTTTTTAACTTTTGAACATGTATAGCTTTTATATGAGGAGATTATCCTGGAATCAATACATGACAAGCACTCTTAGCACAGAGGTGAAAGTGATAAACAATACATCCCAGAATTTAGAGCCCAGTGAGAGAAGACAGACAATTAAAGAAACAGCTTCAGTACATTGGAATATGGAAATTCATTCACCAGTTCACTCATTCATATGATAAGTATTTATTGAACACTGACTCTAAGCAAGTCAAAGAACCATGGCTGTAATCATGGGAAAGGTATTCCCCAGCCTCCTCTTTAGCCACTCCCACACACCCTAACCTTTAATTAAACTAAAGAAACAGTGGTCTCAGAGCAGCTTCATTGCTTTTTTTCTTTCTTCCTTTTTCACACTGAATTCTCTGCTAGGTGCTCTTTTCTCTCTCCATCTCTACCTTGTGATAACCTCTCAATGCTTAAGACTGACTCCATGTCAATTACTATGCAGTTGTCCTTCCTCCCACTTTTCCCCCTGCCTCTGTTACCCCTAATTAATTAATTGTTCTCAATTTTCTTCCCATTCATACCTCCTTATAGAAGGCAACAAATTACATTACAGTTCACTGTCTCCAAAACTTTTATGATTGTATATCCTCAATAAGAATTTTAAGCATACTCCCAATGTAGGTATGTGTAGTTATGAATTACTTACACATAGTGTACTAATATGTTATATCATTTAATTGAAAAAGTAACATGTAAATATGAGGTAAAATTGAGTATAAATGGAAATTCTAATATTTCCTTTGATGCTCTTTATATTGTCTTGAGCACCCTGCACACCCTGCTTTGGAAAACACTACATTTCATTGACTCTTCCAGTGAACAGGGAGCTCCAGAGCAAGAACCATTCCCATCAAAACCATCATACTACCTGGTCCAGAAATATTTATTGGGTTTTAGTAATTCAAATTAAAATTACTCCTTTCAGAATCTTAATTTTTTTGAAAAAAAATTATGATGGTTAAAACCTCCAGGTGAAAACAAATTGAAAGGTTCTGGATAGTTGTAGTGCAGTTTGAAGTAGGTAAATTAAAGAATATAAAAGATTGGGCTATGTAATGACGAAGGAAAAAACTTCAGGAAATTCTGCACAGTTGAAAACAGGACAACGACGTGATTGCAATTGAGGTGTTTGGCAGGTAGGACCATTTATGGTACATAAGAATCATACATAGGACTACTGTGAATGTGACTATAAAAAAATCTTATTTAAAAATACCTAATACAGGGGCACCTGGGTGGTTCAGTGGGTTAAAGCCTCTGCCTTCGGCTCAGGTCGTGATCCCGGGGTCCTGGGATCGAGCCCCGCATCGGGCTGTCTGCTCAGCAGAGAGCCTGCTTCCTCCTCTCTCTCTCTCTCTGCCTGCCTGTCTCCCTACTTGTGATCTCTGTCAAATAAATAAATAAAATCTTTTAAAAAAATAAATAAATAAAAATAAAAATACCTAATACATATTGCTTGGCTCCAATTCATTCTGAGTCCCTTTTGTTCCCATGCAGATGATGGGTGGAATCCCATGGCAAGCCTACTTCCAGAGGGTCCTCTCTTCATCCTCAGCCACTTATGCTCAGGTGCTGTCTTTCCTGGCAGCTTTTGGATGCCTGGTGATGGCTCTACCAGCCATACTCATTGGGGCCATTGGAGCATCAACAGGTATATCTCTTGCAACTTCACTAACTGACCCACTGAGATTTCACTGAAATGACCAATTACCACCCAGCTGCCCTCTCTCTCTCACTTGCCCTCTTACCTCCACTTACTTGAATGTTTCTCATCATATTCATATAGAGACCTTTATTATAGCATTCAAGTAATTGTATCATAGCTCAGTGTCTCCATTTTTTAATGCTCTCCCCACCAATAAAATATATGTGAGCATACCCCTTCATGTTGATATACTTATCAATTGTGTATATGTAATTCTGTCAACAGTAGTTCTCAACAAAAGTACACATTGACATCATCTGGGGAGGAGAAGAGATGCTTTAAAAAATAGCTCTTTGTATCCTACCCCACAGGGATTTTATTTTAATAATATAAGGTGGAGCCAGAGACTAGGGTTTTTTTTAAAGCCCCTTGGTTGGTCAAACTTAACCTGATTTGAAATCTACTGGCTTAGAAATTTAATGACACCTAAAGACCAGTTTGAACTTGAGATTTTCGCTTTACATTTGTAATTGTTTGTTAATTAAGAGTTTTCTTTCTTGGAGAAATAAATCAATAAGTGCGCAGGTAAAGGTAAAATTAAGGGACTGAGACTTAGGGAATAATTTATTCAAATTTGGTAAAAAGATCATTGTAAGATGCTTATCTCCTAGTTAGCCTCTATCTAAAACATTTCTAAAATCTCACCATTAATTTAATTGAAATTGTTAATTACTCCTGACACTTACATATCTATGTTATATAACTTCCATGAGCATTCATGAAAATACATCACAGTAACCCAAATTCAAAGAATTCCTGTAGGTAGATATCATTAAAACAAACTAAAGAAGTTTGCCCTTCACTCCACTGTGTTTTGTAGAGATGATACAGGGTGATAAACTCACGGCTATTTTGATTTTCAATTAATAGAGCTACTTATTGGATTATGTAACCTTTACAAGAGCAGTCATGGTTCATAGTGTATATTTTCCATTCCAATTGTTCCTTCATGACATAAACAAACACTTAAAAAGATGACTGACAAAGGTGATTGGGTGCCTTTGAATAAAAGATAGCACTTATGTCACAATCAGAAAACCGATCTGACTTCTGTCTGTGTGTGGGTGTGCCTGTGTGTGTGTGTGTGCGTGTGTGTGTGTGTGTGTGTGTGTTGTAGGACAACAGACAGAAAAAACCAATGTGAACTCTATTTTTTTCTTGGATTGAGTACACATTCTTGGTTGTTATTTCTGGCACCATAATAGTCTCAATGAGTGCTATAAAATTGGCTTCAACAAAGCCTAGCTTTGAACAACCATAGTAGAAAATGGAGGAAGAAAAAAGTGGTAAGATCCAAGGGAAACTACTCTTATTTGGTCCTGGAATTATACCATCAAAGTTAAGCAAATAAAAAAGGAGCTATATTAATGTACATTTAAAGATTCCTTTGTATTCTTCAGTACACTATAGTATGAGTAAACAGAACTGGGTGTTATACCCAAACAATGAAGCATGAAACACTACATCAAAAACTAATGATGTACTATATGATTAATATAACACAATAAAAAAAGAACTATTTATTCAAAGATAAACTTATTTTTTTGTTTGTTTTCACCATGATTTTCTCTATCTTGCATGGTGCACAAGATATTTTTGTACCCTTTACAATAAAGTCTTAATGGCCATTTTCTACTTAATAAGAAAAAAACAGATTAATTAGCACAATGCAGAATTTCACTAGCTAAAAAGTCAGTTTGAAGATGTAATTTCTTCTATGAATTCTAGAGTTCAGCAGACCAACTTATCATAAAATGTAAAAAATCTTATACCTTATTTTACTAGTGGTGCATCTCAGATTCTGTTGAAAAAAAATATTAATATTGGTGAGTCTTCAACTGGTAATGGATAGGTTTGTATAAGTCAAAACACTTAGGTTTTTGGCCACATTTAAAAGAATAATGGAAAATTTTGGAAAATAATGCTGACAGTGTTTAATTGATCATGCAACTCCTTCAATTATGATAAAAAGACATAAACTTTCTTAAACAAAAAATACAGTGTCTTATTTTCCTTGTAGTATCAATAGCAGATATAATTTCTAAGTTTCAAGTGTAAAACCTTGAAAGCACATTTTCTTATTTTATTTTTTTCAAAAAACCTTTTATATATTTGAAGAAACTGCATGTTTACTTTGGCTTTGTGGTTTTAAAAAAAATTTTTCAGGCATATATATATTATTTATTGTTTAAAAATGTAGTCGTTGTACAATTTATGTATGTAATTTCTAAATCAGCTTCACATTGTTATTTTGTGAGATAAAATAAACTGGTAACACTCTGTAATAAAATTTTACTCCAAAGGTTAATATTTTGCACTAACTATAATTTGGTGACTTCCCAGACTTGGCAAATAGTATCATCATTCAGACCTATGCTATCAGAATCTTTCAGGATATTCTGCATTGTAAAGGCATGCCTGAGAGATCCCAATGTTCATTAAGGTTTGTGAACCACTGAATGAATCCAATGATGATTCTTCTTTTTACTTCTTGTTTTAATAAAATCAAGCACTTGCCATTTTCTGCCCATTTCTCTCTTATCCACACAATGTCAAACTTGCTTTTAACATTGTTTTTAACAGCCTGGCTCACAGACTTAGAGATGTGCTGCAAACTGTTGTCTGGGCATCTCTGGTGCCCATGCCCTCCTGTTTCCTTGAGACTTTTTCTATCTTTTATGTTTTGAGTCCTGTATCCAGATTCCAAAATCCTTCTGAAGTTCAGTCTCATACCTGCACTTTCTACTCAATAAACAAGGACTTTCCTTTATCTACCATGCCCCCTGTTTCCAATAAGTGGAATCCAATGCAAGAAGGAATTTAGTTGGGGGGAAAATAATACTGAGGGTGCTCCAAAACCAAGTTTATATACAGGAAGAGGATGGGTGAGAATATCTCCACTATTGCCTAAACATTAATGCATGTGTGACTGAGGACTGGATCACTAAGTGTCCTCTCACATCTCCAACTGATTGAAGAAATACTCCATGCTTTTGTCTTATAACATTTGTGTTCTGTGATTCTGTACAATTTTATGTCATAATTACAGAAGAGAAATAGGTAATAACTAGGTAGATAAGTAGATAGATAACTGATGATTGAAAGATAGGCAGATAGATGATAGATGATGATTCATAGATGATTAGATAGATGATAGATAGATGATAGATAGATAGATAGATGATAGATAGATAGATAGATAGATAATAGGACTTATGAATAAGGCTAAGTGTATCCAAACCCATTAGAAGCCAGAATTATATATAAGACAATGGACTTTCCACCCACTTAGACCAATATACCTAGTTAGATTTCTAGACCGAATTATAGACTTCTCCTCTAATTAGACTTATTAATACATTCTGAATTTCAAAAGCTCTTAGTAGATAGGATGACTCCCAGATAGATAAAGAACATACGGTTCTTTGGATGCTTTTATATTTGTTTTTTTCTATTCAACAGACTGGAACCAGACTTCATATGGGCCTCTAGATCCCAAAGACAACAATGAAGCAGACATGATTTTACCAATTGTTCTGAAGTACCTCTGCCCTGTGTACATTTCTTTCTTTGGTCTTGGTGCAGTTTCTGCTGCTGTTATGTCCTCAGCAGATTCTTCCATCTTGTCAGCAAGTTCCATGTTTGCCCGGAACATCTACCAGCTTTCGTTCAGACAAAATGTAAGAATGTTTCTTTTCAGACATAACATTATTGTTGTTGTTTTGTTGTTGTTGTTGTTGCTGTCACCTTTATATTTATTGTGTCTGTAGTATTATATATGTAGTAATATCCTATATTAAAATCAGACCCTAGTTTGATTAAGCACACAAGGTTAAATAATGCTGAATTTTATTTAAGCTGTACATAAACATTTTTAACGCATGTTATCATTCATGTTCATATGGAAGGGAACATATCAACACTAGTATTTTTTGAGAGGTACATTCATATTGTTATAATTTACATTTCTTGTCTTTCTAATGAAAGAGTCATGAAACCTAAAATATCAAAAAAACTTTGAGTTTAATCAAGTTTGAAGCAGAACATAGTGAGCACGTTATTTTGTGGGCATTTGTGCAGTTGAACTCCCAAGTCTACATCGGTAAGAAAATTGCCTCTCGGTGTGATTGACCTGACTAAATCAAGTCAGTGCAGAACAGCACTGTTGTGTCACTGAGGAGCCAATAGCCCTATTCACCTTCCTCCTTCACTGAGGCTTTGTCTTTCTCTAGTTTTTCTAGGTCATAGTGAACAAGATGGTCCCACTTGTTTTTAAGGTGGCTAGACTTAAAGATGGTGGGACTCCCAGAAGACAGCAAGCAAGAGTGGGCCATGCCTCCTCACAGCCACCTAGGAATTATTCCTTAATATGTAAAGTCCTTTATGTGAAGTCCTTTCTTGCATTATTATTCCCCTATGGGGGCACAGTAGCTCATGCCCCTCTCCCATGCACATTCAGGGAAACGTGTAGCTGCCCTTGCTTCTGCACATGGCACACAGAAACCCCTCCTAAAGGCCCACCAGGGAGGCCACCTAGATGGCTTACTTCCTCTGCTGTGGTTTAGGCTGATTTTGCCCATGCTGAACTGTATGAACCAGGGGAATTGTTTAGACCAGTTTTAAAGTGCAGAGAGGCATCTCACTCTTCACCTAAATGAACCAACGCACTGTGTGAAAAGCTGTCACTGTGGCAATTTCTTGCAGGCATCAGACAAAGAAATCATCTGGGTCATGAGAATCACGGTGTTTGTGTTTGGAGCGTCCGCCACAGCCATGGCCTTACTCACGAAGACCGTGTACGGGCTCTGGTACCTCAGCTCAGACCTCGTTTACATCATCATCTTCCCCCAGCTGCTCTGTGTGCTCTTTGTCAAGGGAACTAACACGTACGGGGCTGTGGCGGGTTACGTGTCTGGCCTTTTCCTGAGAATCACCGGCGGGGAGCCATATCTGTACCTTCAGCCCTTGATCTTTTACCCTGGCTACTACTCGGATAAGAATGGCATATATAACCAGAGATTCCCATTTAAAACCCTCGCCATGATTACCTCGTTCTTATCCAACATTTGCATCTCCTATCTAGCCAAATACCTATTTGAAAGTGGAAGCTTGCCTCCCAAATTAGATGTGTTCGATGCTGTTGTTGCAAGGCACAGTGAAGAAAACATGGATAAGACGATTCTGGTCAAAAATGAAAATATTAAATTGGATGAACTTGCCCCTGTGAAGCCCCGACAAAGCCTAACTCTCAGCTCCACGTTTACCAATAAGGAGGCCTTCGTCGACATCGACTCCAGCCCAGAAGGGTCTGGGACTGAAGATAACGCGTAATGACCCCATTCAAATAAAATACTGCTTTCACAAACTGAGTGCCACGGCAGGCTAGTCTGGGAGGGATGGATTGCAGCATATAAAAAATATACTTTAAAAGCGAACAGCATTCAGGAGGACAAAGATCCATATAGAAGTGCAATTGCACAAATGCAACCCAAGCGAGAAGGAAGCATCTGTGAAAGCAACAGCTTGCTTTCTCATCAGTATTTCTCATCCTCACTCGATTCTGACTCTAGTTAGTTTTCTTAAGTATTCAAAATTGAATTAAGCCCCCCTCAAAGAACAGAGGGCCAAACAGAATATTTATTGTTATTCTGAAGGAAAAAAAAAAGTAGATAAGAGCCAAGGAATTTAGGTGGACTTGATCAAGACCTTGTCTACTAATGCACTAGTGGGTCTAGTTTATTGTCACAGCGAAGTCAGGAGAGGAACTTGCCATCACTCCAATGAATGGTGCAACAGATTAACCACTGATTGTCCTGATGTGATGATTAATTCCTTCTTTCACGTTCTTAACTAGAACATTTGCTGAATATGCAATTCATTTCTCTTTTTGTAGTGGCACGTATTATTCTGAGCACAGACAAAGCAAACACATAAAAAATATTGTGTTGTGTCATTTCTTTAGGTACACGGTAATAGAAAAGTAGAATCCATCTTTGTAGAGGAGTATTATTTCCTTGGAGTGTGTCTAACAGCTACCATATGCATTGAGACACGTACCTGGAGGATGGAAGTCATGATAATTCAGCAACCTTAAAGCAGTAAATCAAGAAGGCCATTAAGCAGAAAGTGACAGGAAGAAGAGTGGGTTTTTACCTTCCTCTGAAGCTTTTGTAGTTTTGCTTCATGATAAAAGAAGTAATGTCTTGGCTTCCTATCTAACCTGGTACTGGAAGTAAAATTGAGCCATATAGAAGGTGAGGTAGCAGCATAGCACCAGTTAAGGTTAATGAGAGATAAACAGCACCTCCTGATAAAACTAAAAAAACAAACTCACTTAATTTTGGACATTCATTCATGGGGATGATTTAGTGTCAAGAGAGTGACTCTGCGGCAATTCTTGCAAAAGCCAGTCTTAGGTACTAGACAGATCACCACTACGGAGAGTAGATAGTGAATTTTAAAATGCAGAAGAAAGCAGAAAGTAAAAATAAGTCCTAAGGGGAAAAAGCCATCAATTTTAACATTTGGTGTCCACATAACTTTCATGAGGTTGGTCATTAAATATTACTTTTCTCCTTTTCTGGAGTTAAAAAATACATATGGGTATAAATATATATATGCAATGGTTTGTATCCATTTTAGAATTTAAAATTCTTTCTCAGAGGCCACATTATAGAAATAACCAGAGTTGTGTCTATAAAAACAGAGTGAACTGATGAGCTAAAATATGATCTGAGCATTTGATCCAATAAGGAAATGCAACATGACTTATTTAAACTAAAGCACATTGTCCAAAAAACATTTGTTTTGCAATTTATAGACAAAATAAAGTTAATTCCGTGTTCAACATTAGGTATAAAAGTTATATCCAGGAAGCTAGAATTCCTATTAAGAAAATTATAATTGTCTAACAGCATCAAATAATGCATCTCTTTGTTATTAAACATGAGTTAAATTCACAGGGTAATTTTTTAAAATATGAATTAAATAATTTTACATGTTATAATGTCCCATACTTTAATGCTTTATAAAAGCTTGATGGAGAATATGATGTTGCATTCAGAATCTTTATAGAACATCATCTATGTTTAAGTGAAAAGAAAATTCCTTTCACTTTTCTGTTTGCTCAGAATTTTCTTTACGCCTAGTGCCCAATGGAGTACTTGGAAGGAGCACATTTTTGGAAATGGTAAGAGTGGGAATCCCAAGATTCTATGACATGGATGGAGAGAAGAACCCAGGGCAGGAAGCTCACAAAGGACAAAGTACAATGATGGAAACATTTGGCACGGAAGTGATGACTTGCTGGGGACTGCTGTTCCTGGTACCTCTGATCCTTCAGATGTGCCATGCTCTCCAACACACCACCTGAATAATTGTTTTGATGCAATCCATCACCCTGAGTTTTTGTTTCAACCTATTAAGGTGGCAACTTCCATGGAAAACATCACCCATGTTATAATAAAATATAACAGGGATTTAGTCTCTTTGAAGATGTTATAGTTTACAATTTTACTGGGCAACAGTTGTCCAAATATGTTCAGATATGTGCAATAACCATATTTAAATCCAGTGAAATAGAATAAATATTAACAGTGAAAATTTCTTCCATTCCATTCATTTTGTAATAATAGAAAGATAAAATGGGGGAAAGGGTTTACCTTGTCCAAAATATTAAAAACTAAATCGCTTAAATAATATACTAAGTCACTTAAATAATATAAGCCAATAAATAATGCCCTATTTTTATTTCATGTGTTATTTCATACCTACTCTCAAACTAAATTTACAAAAAAGCTAGTTTAGTATAAAAGCCACTAATAAATATGCTAAATATTAGTAAGATGATTTTTTTTTAAGATTTTATTTATTTTATTTGACAGAGATCACAAGTAGGCAGAGAGGCAGGCAGAGAGAGAGAGAGGAGGAAGCAGGCTCCCTGCCGAGCAGGGAGCCTGATGCGGGGCTCCATCCCAAGACCCTGGGATCATGACCTGAGCCGAAGGCAGAGGCTTTAATCCACTGAGCCACCCAGGCACCCCAGTAAGATGATTTTTTAAAAGGACAAAAAATGTTGATGATCAGACGGAATGAAACAATGATCACAGGGTTGTTAGGCACATTCACACGCACATTTTCCCATTTCCAAGGAAGGAACAAAGTTGTGACTCTCAGAAGACAATGCCTTATGCTCATCTCTGCTCTGTTTTGACATCACGGGTAATGCTGGTGGCTTTGTATTTTTCCAGCTTCACTCAGTGGATCTAATTTTCAAAAACCCATTCTCGATGAAAATAAAACAACAGAAACATTTTAGACACTGGCTATATTAACCTCTGGAGGCAATACCTGTGGATAAAGCATTAGGATAAAACACATATTTTATTTTCATACTTCTACAATAATTGTAACATGTTTTTTGGGGGGTAATTTTAATGTGTTCTTCCCCACACACATATTTTCCAAAACATCAAGCTTGTAGCTGGACTGATAAGTCAACAAGCTTTCAAACACTCAATGTCAAAATGCAACTTTGTTGCTATTATTAAAAGTAATGAATTTTATGTGAATGTCAAATGAATGTAAGCTTGAAATAAGTGAATCTACTCTAATGGCTATTAGCTGTTTTATTTGGAAATAATGAATTGGCATTGTATTTTAACATAAAGTGTGACTTTTTTTTAGTCTCTGAGAATATTTATTCCTGCATAATGTATAATTTATTGTAAGTTTGCTACCGAACAGACAGATACATATAATGGTTCTAAACATATATTTTTGTCTGTCAAAATATTATATAAACTGTGCTTAAAATAAGTAGATTTGCAGCTATACATGTAAATGTTTTCAGTGTAATGGTATTGTATTAAATTGTGCTGGTGCAATTCAGGAGATCATTGTCCAGGCTCGGCTTTTTGCGGCCCTCTCTTAAAACAAATATAAGTGGTGCTTGGAGACAACTATGCAATGGAATTAAAATAAACCATCTCACTGCTGGAACATATAAAAATATGAAATGGAAAAGTTTCACCTTGCATAAATCTTAAGGAAATATATGATATTATATCTCAAAAAATATGAATTGCTATTCCTGGAAAAGAAGTTCTGTCACTGCACACAGGCCTTTCTTTGAGTCAAGCATATCAGTAGACAGAATATCTATTCCATAAATATCAAAATATCTGCATCTTAAAAACCAAAGAGCTGTCTGATAATTACTGATCTAGGATACACAAGCAATCACTAAGTAAAGAATTGTCTTCATTATGTTCTATATATATTCTTTATGTATCTTACTAACTCTCTCTAAGTGTCTTGAAAAGTATAATTATATGTATCCTCAGAAGAACTTTGCCCCTTACACCTTAATCATAAGCAATTCTGCCTTTGGATATATAGAGAGAGGAGCGACCTAGAATGAGCTTAAGGATGAATGAAGGAAAGAATAAGTAGTCACAGGAAGAAATATACCAGTTTGTCTGTCATTATGGACACATTTCAGAGATCCTATATTTTGCTTTATCACAAAGCTATACTACAGAGGAAAGTATTCGGAGCTAGAAAAGACAATGTGTATTGGAGCCTGTGTATGCTTTCTTCATTTTAACCCTGGAGTTAAGAGAGTTTAATTTGATTGTTAGCATTCTCCTCTAAGGCAGATATTCTGAGAGAGGTCCAAAGAATTACAAGATCATGATAAATGATTACTTCTTCATGTTTTATACAATCACCCAAAGAAGAACCCCAAATCAGTAAAAACAGCCAACTTCTAGTATTTAAATTCTTTATAATCAAGAAGTATATGATAATTTTGTTTTGGTTTTTGGTTGGAAAGCTATGGTTATCTATTTAAAATAAGTAGCACCTTATGTATTTTGAAGCTGTTGATTTATGAATTTTTGAACTAGAAGTACTTAAAAACATAAACCAGATAGGACTGAAAGGCTAACCATGATAGAATAGTGGATATTAATGAAAGGAATAACTGCAAACGGCCTCCCAGTGGTGTTGCAAAATGCAACTGGAGTGAGTGAATGGCTTGGACTTACTGGCCTCTGGCCTGATTGCAGCTTCACTTGGAAGACAGTAGGTAAGAGTAGAAATGCAGAAGCATGTATGGCTTCAAACAGCAGCTCTGCCTCTGACTGAGGATCACAACAGTCATAGTCTTAGTAAAGGCACTTAACCTCTAAAGCCTTAGTTTTCCAAATGAGAATTGCATTTATCTGTTACTAGGCTGAAATTATAGGATACCTTAAAGGCTAAATGGTAGATAGAACACACTTAATAAGTGTAAAGATATGGAACTATAAACCTAGATCTCCACCTGG